CATTTGTGTCCTCCAATGTTTGCATACCTGTGTGTGCAGTTGCTTCCCAAGAACGAAGAAAACCTGTTTAGACAGAGGAAAATGACTATGTGGATCTTAGACCTTTACCAATAGTTCTGAACCCAGGATAAATTACAGAATTATCTAGGTGGCTTTGAACAAATACCTATATACTGAACTGTCCCACTCTGATTGATTTAGGATAGTACACAAATTATATTGGAATGTTTAAAGTGTCCTAGGTGGTTTGAATAAGTTGCCAACATTGCAGAATCATGGCCCGTAACCTAAGATCATCTGTGCACAGTCTTGATCATACATCAGCTTTAAGAATGCTAATCTCCTGTGTATGTGCAGGACCTATTAAATAAAGAGGGAGGGGAAAGTCAAGCTTCAACATGTTTTAAAACTCCCCAGTGTGTGCTACCCAGGTTGGAAACCACTATCCATGCCAACTAGTGACACAATGAGGGGGATTCACATTAAGCATCAAATGACCCATCATGCGGCCCTGTATTTCAGTCTCCTGAAGCTGGGACTTGCATTAGATGGCTCATCTTACTTTCACATATGGAATTAACAAAATTAATTTCATATTCCTTCACACTAGTTTTACTAAGATGTGCACCATGTCTGATCAGACAAGTACCTGTTCTGCTTCTCACATGTTTGCTCTTACAGTACCTGGGTAACCAATAGTCTACTATGAGCAAAATTTAACATCATTCAAAAGGGATAAATTTTATGCTGGAATTGGTCCTGGGCAATTCATAACTTTGTGAGCAGTTGGGGGTTCTTCTCTTTTTGCTGGGGAGTTATGTTCGCTGGTATGGTACGGTGTGTTGTAGGGATGTGGAACTAGCAGGTGCTTTTATGTAAACCTAGTCCCTTCATGCTCACCTCTCTTCAATAGCTGCTAATCCATGGGGAGCTTTGCAACATTACAGCAAAGTATGTGATCAATTATGTTATGATCATCTGTTCTAAAGCTCAGGTGTAATTTCAGTGACTGGTAATCTTATATTATAATCTTTGCATTATTTGTTCATTAAGTAGAAAGGCATTTGCTTTGCTCAGTTTGCCTTGTCAAAGAGCAAAGGAAGCATCCGACCTGGATGTACTGAGTGGTTTGACCTGATAGCAACTAGTCCTTATTGGTCCCCTTGTAAATCTGTTTCAGAATAAGATGCTTGGTGGGCAGATTTGAAATGAGTCCTCAACAGATATAAAATCAAATCCCTATTCTTTCTGTTGCTCTGGCAGGAGAGCACTGTGTAGAAATATATCCGCTCTGACTCCTCAGTCTATGTCTGAGAGATTAACTACATTCTTCCCAGCATCTTAGCACTATTTCCAAAGTCAGTATCATTGTCTTTCATCTTGCTCTTATTCATCTCTCTCTGAGAACCCAACTTTTGAGAAACTGAAAACAGTGTGGAAATTCTTTATGGTGAATAAATGGCATCACAACATTGAGTTAGGGATCATTGCTTATCCCAATAACCTCAGTGCTCAGCCAGCTGAGGCAGGAGGATCAAAATCTCAAGATTATCTTCAGAGGATTTGAGAGCAGTCTGTGCTGCAGGAGACTGTCAAAATAAAACAGCAGCATCTTCATAACTAAGTAATGCTTAAATATTTTTCTAATTTCTCTTCTGCATGCGGCTCTGAGTGATTTATATTTCATTCTTACATTGCCTGCAAGTACAGTTGAGTTCCTTGCATTTCTATTCATGTTAGCATTTTATTATCAAGAACTGATTCTCTGTGGCATTACTCAACAGATTTATCAAATAAGGTCTTTTTAAATTAGAAAGCGTTGTGTCAACTAAATGGATTATATTGTGGAGGTGAAAGGGGGATGAAAAATTAGTCTCTAAGTAATCTGTGCACACATGTGCCTGTGAGCATGCACATACTTCAGTTATCTCAATATATCTATGATTCAGATGGCCACTACAGAATGGACAATACAGAAACAGCTCACTGTCCCTTCTTTTTCTTTGCATAGGGAGCATCAGAAATGGCAGTCTTGGTCCACAAGCATTGTTCTTTAACCTCTGTTACAAGGGACACAGAGCAGTAAATGTCAGAGTCTGGATCGCTTTGTATAACTCTAATTGGGGACACAATTATGAAAATAGGATGTATAAGACCCACAGAGTCATACACCCTTTGATCCAGCTATCATCCATTGTGGAAAATGTACACAGTAGCAAAAGAGCCATTGTTTCCTTTCTTTTTCTGATCTTGGATAGATTTTTTTAAATACACCATTTAACTGAAAAAGTGTGCTGCTAAAATCTTCAGACTGCTCCAATTCTAGAAGACTATTTGGACACAAACACACACACACACACACACACACACACATTTTGTTGGAGATTAAAGCAAGGGTTTCATTCATATATGTCAGGAAAGTACTTTATACCTGAGCTATATTCTCAGCCCTTGGAAACCTAACATTAAACATTATTTACTCTTTTAGAGGGAATGGGAGCCAGGTACTCTATAATCCAGGAACAACTCTGCTCCCAGATCTAGGGCTATCATTTAAAAGAATAATCCAAAAACCCTGGGCTTGCAAAAATAAAACAACAAAGCTGTTTCTTTTCTGTTTGTACATGTGATTTTTCTCTGTTACCTTGGATTTTCTCAGAAGTAACTTAAGCAGAGATCACCTCACCCACGTTTGTCAAATCTCCCCACACAGAATGGAGGGCACTGTCTCCCGCACACTGACAACACTGCATACCACCATCATTGGTGAGTTCACATCTCCCTTCCCTAAGTTCAGCTCCTCAAGGGCAAGCTTTGAAGATCATTTTCCTTTGTTCTACCAGTATCTGGCACAGTTCTCAGATGACCAAAGTTCAACTATCATTTACTTAATACATGGAAAAGTTCTCATTAGCTAATTCCAATTCAAGCACCCTGGAACAAAGAGCTAGGAAAACTTCAGAAGCTTTTCATGATTAGGTGATTCTCAGGGCCATTTGGTACCAAAATAAGCTAAGAGAAAAGATAACAAATGTGTTTTAGGATTATGTGAAGTGAGATCTCTCAGCCCTGCAACGAATGGTTACTCTTGGCTAGATTTGTAATCACCTAGGAGACATTCCTCTCAATGTGTTTCTCTCTCTCTCTCTCTCTCTCTCTCTCTCTCTCTCTCTCTCTCTCTCTCTCTCTCTCAATAATTATCATAGGAAAACAGTTAAACTAATTGGTCATCAAAGAGACCAAATTTAAAATATAATGAATAAAACTCTACATTCAGTAGATGGCAATTATTGAAGATACTGAGGACACTAAATGGTACCAAAATTTGAATGAAGAAACATTCCCATTCACCACTGCTAGAAGTGAGGACAGAAACACCATCTAACAACCCAGGGAAAGTATTCAGTAATGGCAACAAAGTTAGTCTTAGCAGTATATTCCACAGATCTGAATTCATATTTGCTCATCAAGTTAAATCGTTTGTAGCATCACTCTGTAAGTAGCTTAAAACTCAATTCAAATGTCAATCAATGACGTAACTAATTAATAAACTGTGTTATATCCATGTAATTGAACACCATGCATTTCATATTATAATATGAATAAACAAATGATTACTATACATATGAAATAAATAGAAGTTTTATAGTTGAGCAAAAGAAGACAGATGCATTCTTTCTTCCACTAACACAAAGTTCAGAAACAGGAAAGAGCAAGGGCCCCTCACAGTGGTCCTCTCGGTGGGCATCTGTGGGGAGGGAACATGGAGGGGGTTTTCAGGAATATTCTTCTCATGTGTGGTAATTATACCAGGGAGTTTGATTTTTGAAGATTCACTGAGCTCTATGTAAGCTTGTGTATACCTTAACAGAGAAACTATTATAACAGAAAGCCAACAGTTTTATAGTAATTAAATCACAGTGAGGGAAAATTGCCTTCGGCTTGGATGGGAAATGGCTTTTTCTAGCCTTACATGAAAAAGAAACCTTTTCTTGCTGGACTTGCTTTTTCCTTAGACAGTTTTCAATAACAAATATTGAAGTGGCTTGCCTTGAGAGAGAGAGATTAAAGTACTGGGTAGGAGATAGATGATGCAGGTATAATTGTGTGGACGGAGAGACAAGAGGCCAGCTAGAAGTAATGGCTCAGAGATAGAAATCACAGGAATTGAAATTTAATTATCTATAGGATGAAGAAACGGGGAGATAAAAGTGACTCCAAAGTTTCTAGCTTGATAGATCTGAATGATTATACAGGGGTGGGGTGGACACCGGATCATTTGTGGGAAAGTTTGGCTTGAATCATTACATTGGTGTTTGTTTTTATGCTATCTAAAGTATGGTTCTGGAACCTGGTAAAAATTCTAGCATGTTTAAACCCCAAGAATACATGCAATTTCCACTTCCTACCCCCAAGGAAATGTGTGTTATGAGGAGGTATTAGAATTACAGATGGGCAGTAGGGGCATTGATCAAGGAGAGGCTATGCACCAAGCCCATACATCAGTTATCTCAACTGCTTTTAATATATTTAAACACCCAATTGGCATAAGTAATTATCATACTTTCTATCCTTTGGTATTAATTTCCTAAGCATTAAATTTGTTGTTAGAAGTATTAAAATCAATACCTGCTACTTGTATTCCACAAACAAAATTTGTCACTCATATCTGGACTTCAGCATTACAAGAAAACGTTATTATATGAAATCTTTTAGAATGGCAGCTGTATTGGTGATTTTTTACAGCAGTGGTTCTCAACTTGTGGGTTGTAACCCCTTTAGTGTCTAATGACTCTTTCAAAGGAGTTGCTTAAGACTATTAGTAAACAGATTTTTACATTATAAATAATAATAATTTCAAAATTATAATTATGAAGTAGCAATGAAAATGATTTTATGGTTGGGTTGTCATGACACAAGGAACGGGATTAAAGGGTTACAGTTGATAGGAAAGTTGAAAACCACTGTTTTACAGTATAAGAAAAACAATGTTAACTTACCATATTTATAACTTTATGATCAGGAGCATAGACCAGATATAATAATGGCCTAGAAAATTAATTTTGAGACAAAACATGATTATTAATGAAATATTTATAGATTTGTATAAGATGGTTAATAAATACTTAAACAATTTTATTTGTTGGTAAAATATAGGGTTTTTCCCCAGAATTTTCATTGTCCATTCTCATTACCTGGAAACCATGATGCAAACCCCAGACTCTTAAGGACAATACTCAGTACAGAAAAGACACATTCTGCTTCCTCTTGTGGGAACCCATTGTCCTGATGATTTTTATGTAGCAAACTATCCCTAAATGTAGTGACTTACTACAACCCCTATGTTACAATATCTCAGTTTGGAGATGGTGAGAACAGGTAAGTCTCTGCTGGGCAGCCCTTCTGCTCCTGTGGCATAGGTTGAGGTCCACTAGGGGTGTTCACCTAGCAGACAGACACAACAGAGAACTGAAGATACGATTTCACTCACAACTGTGACTTTATCAAGGATTACTGGAAGTCTTGGTCCAACTGGGACTATCAACTCTAGCTTCTTTGAGCAACCACTCCCAGATGGTGGCCTTAGGACAAACAAACTTTTACCTGGTGGTCCACGTTACTGGAGACTGGAGGCAGGAAGAAGTAGATACAGCTCCTTTCTTAGGACCTGACTCTAGAAACAAGAACAGTATTATTTTTGGACTAATCATTTTGCCTATCTTAGTAACTTCTTAGATTCAAGGGGAAGAGAAAATCAAAGAATTTGTAGGTCAATTTAATCCATTTCACACATAAATACAAGTCAGCCATGATCTCACTTAGTAAATTTTTTCATAAAACAAATTAATTTTTCTAAAGATAGATAATTGTATCTACATCAAGACATACCAATGCACACAATGGAAAGCTGCGAATAAGATATAGGTGATTTTATATTCTGATAAATAGTATTAAATAAGTAGAAACAGGATAACTAGCCATTGCTCTTGATGTTCTCTTTGATTTATTGAACATAAATTAAAAACTTGTATTTGTGTTGTCCTGAGTCTGGAGACAGCTCAGTCATTGTAAGTAAAAGGTCTACAGTTCAGAGCATCAGAACCCATGTAAATGCCAACTGGTCATGGCTGCCTGCCTATAATTCCAACCTCAGAAGGAAGATACAGGAGATTCCAAGAGAAAGCTAGCTAGTGAGACTAGACTATCATTGTTAGTGAGTTCTCAGTTGACTGGAAGAAACTGCCTCAAAGAACAAAGTGAAAGATCAAAGAGGAGCCTATCATCAACACTGGATCTTCGTAGAGAGACCCACACATGTGTGTGTTCACACACTTAATATAATGCATATATATATATAATACATAGGTATATTTTTGGTATTTTTAATAACCACTGAAAGTAATACTTACTCAAAATTTTCTACATGATTTCTACTTATGTGGTTTTGGTGCTTAAGTGTTAAGGAAAAGAAATTCATGACAAATATGTGCCTCATTGATACCATCTCTTATGTTAGATATACTAATGTTTTAATCAGTTAATCCTCAAAAGAAACTTTGAAATTGTTACTTGAATTCTCATTTTATAGGTAAGGAGATGCAGGTTCAAAAATGTCATGGATATATGGTTCAATACATTCTGTATAACATATAAACATATATATGCATGTGCTCAGATATTCAGATACTATTTATAAATACACTATGTGAATTTATTTGCATAATATGTAACATATGCTATATAAGTATTTAGTTTATATGGTATAGATAAATTGTATTTTGTTACATATAGAGTAAATTTACCAGTTATATGTTTACTATAATATAATGTATATGCCTATATACATACTTGGTGATAATTACATCAGATCACTTATTATTCTTCTGCTTCTTATATTCAGCCAAAGATACTTTTATAGTCTTATAGATGTATTGCTACTCAATACAGCACAACAACCTAAAATAGCTTTCCAATTCAATATATTCAGGGTCTTGATAGTGAACAGAAAGTGATGACCTCACAATAATCTGCACTAAGGAGTCCTTTGGACACTCAAAGTGATCAAATAGCAGGAATCTGATACACTTCTAACAGGTAACACTTCAAAAATCTCTCTCTCTTTCTCTCTGGGGATTACACTGTATTGTAGTGTAGTACATGTATGTGTTCATGTACACATGTTTGCATCTGTGTGTGGAGGTCAGAGGTTGCCATTGTGTGTCTTTCTCTATAGCTATCCATGTTATTTTTTGTTGCAGCTTCTCATATTGAACATAGAGTCCACTGATCAGCCAGACTCTCTGGCCAGTGAGCCCCAGAGAGCTTCCTGTCTCTGCCATACCAGTGTTTGAAATACAAATGTGTACTGCTGTACAGAGCTTTAGTAGGGATGCTGGGAATCCAAACTGAGGCATTCATGGTTGTGTGGCAAGCATTTAACCAAATAGGCTATCCTTCCACTCTTGGGGGCTTGAATATTTTAAGAACTATAAGAGATCCAAAGGTCAACTTGTTCTGAAGAATCATATCTTTTCTAGATAAAAGGAGAAAGCTTACTGGAAGACAACATTGATTAAGAAACTCTTGCTTGTAAAGGTCTTCATAAGCAAGGGTTTTCTCCCATTTGGGGTCTGTCTATTTGTCCTGAGGTTCAGTCATTAGAGCTTCCAAAGAGAAGCAGACATGTCATTGACCCCTTCTGGTAGGTAACAATGTTGGACCACTTGGAATTACCAGTAGAGAGAAAAGTGCCATACCCAAACAGCAATACAATTGATTCCATCTGTAAAATGATGAGAGGACCAAACTCCGATTCTGAACCATGTCTACTGTGGAAAGCTAACTCTTGGTCCCAAAGATTTCAGGCTCTGGTGAAGAAAAGGGTTTGTTTTCAGTGTTCCACTAACTAGTACAATTCCCCATTGGGGGCAATCCTATGCACTTTCTAAATTTATATCATGTAAAGGAACATAGCAAGCCAAACCCCTATCTGCCTGGGCTATCAGTTTCTCTCAAAAGTATTCCTTGTAGTATTATTGGGGTTCTACAGGCTGGAAGTCTTACTTGTAATCTCGAAAAATGAATAAATTAGCTTAGATGATATCCAATGATTCTTTGCTTTAAAACCCCTAGCAATTTCAGGCTCACCCAAAATATGTGCTTCAGGTCATCATCTTTTGATCATCAAATCAATTGAGTAATGGCATTTGAAGGCAGGGATGGTAGCATCTTCCTACAGCAGAAGAACAGATGCAACTCACAGAGAAGAAAGGAGGAAAGAGCAGAAGAGAAGCAATTGTTTGAGATACTGTTTCCTTCTCCCACCTCTAAAGAAACACTCTAAAGACAACAGGACCTTAAAAATAAGAAAAATTCAGCCTTATTACTCATTTTAGTATAATGGAAGCCAAGTGTTGAGTGAAAACAGAAACTGCTTCCATGTACAGAAGCAGTCTTCTGCACTGGCTAAGAAAAAAGGCTGAATCTAGATGCCAATACCTAATGCTTGAACTGGGAGCTACTCTGGAAGATTGTCAAGACACTTTGCATACAGAACACTCCATGTTTTTCCCTTATCCCCATTCAGACAAGGATTAATGTCAAGACTGAATTGAGTGCCATGTGCCCCCCAAAAGAAAATGTCCACTCAAAACTAGTTAATGTACCCATATTTTGTTTTTTAAAAAGCTGTTAAGCCAAGACAGAAAAAGATCATAATCTGGATTGGGACTGCGTACTAAAACCAATGACAAGTGTCTTTAGAAGGGGGTGGCAAAGAACGTTGGCTACAGAACAGCACCGGTGGTTTCAAGCAGGGATTAAAACTATCCAGCCACAAGCGAAGCAATGTTAGAGGTGCCAGGAGCTGGGAAGGCAAGCAGGAGTTCTCCGCTGGTACAGCCGACACCCTGGTTTCAGACTTCCAGCTTTCAGAACTATGAAAGAATGTAATTCTGGTGATATTTAGTAACTGCAGCAGACTAAAGAAAGTTCCTAGCCAAAAAACTGGTCAGGGGAATGAGAAAGTGAGAAACAAAGAGAAAGAAGTCAATTAAGATGTCTAGCTAGTGATGGAAATGGACTATACAATAGGAGATAATGTTGCTGGGCATAGACTGGGTTAGGCCTGAAAGCCAGCATAAAACATACACAACAGAATTGAAATCTGAAGATCAAGAAACTGGGATAACTGATACCTTCTTCAGCTTGGGGTGACACCTTTCAGTGGGTTGTTAATCCCCCAGTGCTTACAATCCACTATACAAATAGAAAATCCATTTTAGCAGTAGAAGACATCCCCATACTGAGAAGAGCAGGTACTGATAACTGGAGAGCTAGCCAATGCATAATATTTTATATAACCTTGAATAAAGTATTATAAAGACAGATCTGGCCAGGCATTGGTGGCACACACCTTTAACCCCAGCACTCAGGAGACAGAAGTGGGTGGATCTCTGTGAGTTCAAGGCCAGGCTGGTCTACAGAGCAAGTTCCAGGAGGGCTCCAAAGCTACACCAAGAAACCCTGTCTCAAAAAACAAAAAATAAAAGAAAAGATGGGTCTAAGTTGAAAGAGGCCAGGTGAAATAATCTGTTAGCCTTTTTGGATGCCCTAAATTCCTGGTGGAGATCACAGATATACAGGACCAGTCACAGGAACAGAGTCAGTCACAAGGCATGAGGAGAACGTACATGATCAATCAACAGTGTTGGTTGCAGGGCATGAGAAAGAAGCTCCTGGAGGCAGCTACTTTGTTAAAGGTCCAGGACCCGGAATAAACCAGGCATGTCTACTGAGGGTTGGAAAATCTGGAAGATTTTATCAGGCACTGGAACAGAGGGACTGTCTCTAGTTGGTTGTCCAGTACCCAGGCCTGAGGTACTTAGTATGCATGAATAGTGGCCCTGAGTATGACATCCCAATAGAGAGGGGAATGTGGGTGCAGATGTACGCCAGTGGTCAAAGGGGAGAACTGATTTGTATGCCAGACCTGTCTGGATCCAGGAGGGGTTTTGGTTTATTTGGTTATTCCTTTGTCTGTATGCATTTGGCTTCTGTTTTGAAGGTTCTGGATATTGGTCCCAGGGCCTCATACTAGGCTGAGAGAGGTGGGGGTTGAGTCTAGACATGGACTTTATCCTTTTAGGAACAGTAATTTCAAATAGACCACAGACTTACAGGTAAAATGCAGAAGAAAAACTCTAAGAAGGCAGTATAGAAGAAAATTTGATACCCTTGGAGTCTATGATGACATGACAACACAGGTATAATCCATGAAAAACACACTTGGTAATCTCGATCTGGCTATTACTAAGAAGCTCTTCTCTGCAACAGGAACCATCAAAAGGATGTTCCCGGACAGCCTGGGGACTGCCACTGAGCCTCCCCTCCTAGCAGGAGCCTATGCACCCCAGATTCCTGATCTTCTTCTCCACCAATGAACCCAGGTAAACCCGGGCCTGCATCTGGGCTTGCCTGCCTGTTCCTGGAGACTGCCTCCCCTCCAGATGGGATAACAGGACCTTATCTTAACATAATAAAAGCTATACACAGCAAACAACAGCCAACATCAAAATAAATGGACAGAAACTCAACACAATTCCTCTAAATCAGGAACAAGACAAGGTTGTCCACTCCATAACTTTTCAATATTGTACTTGAAGTTCTAGCTAG